AAGATTTTGCGCTATGATGTAGATAACATTGGACTCGGAAACTACAGATACGCGTGAGTTTTTTTTTAAAGTTATGGTTATTTGGTCTATAATGTTTGATCTAGATTTCCAAATTACGTTCATAGAATCTAATCTCGAGGTGTGCTTTTAAACAACTGTTATATTCTACCTTATTAACTATTCAAAATGGTCTAATGGTCTTTGCAAACAGAGATTAAAGCGGCTTCTTAAAGTCGAATTATTAAAATTTATTTGAACTCAGAATTTGATATTGTTAGTTAAGCTACGGTTTCCTAAAAAAGCGGTGCCGTTAACTAACGGCCGTCATTTTACGGTTGTTAATAACGGTCGTCTTTACGGTGGCCAAGCTGTGGTTTCCTAGAAAGTAGTGCGACCGTATTCAATCGTAGTCACTCAGTCACTCACTCACTCGAGCGTTGGTCGTGCACTGGTGAAAAATGGACAATTTGGACATAGCATTATTAGTATTTTTGGATGATGAAGAGTCATCAGAAGACGAAAAAAGGCGTTTGCGGGAGAGTGTCATTTTCAAAAACCGTGATACGTGTTAGGTGATTTGAAAATGACACTCTATTGTACAAAACTTCATGATTATTAACAAAATCAATTGATTGTTCATCATTTTCGTTCGTCCAAGTCATTGTATTAATTAAATATGTGCACCGTTACACGCGAAAAACGTTGAACTACTGTTTATCACCGCTATTACGGCCGTCATGCAAATGACAGCACCGCTATTTGACGTTACGGTGACACTCAACGTTCTCTAGAAAACCTACTCCGATGGTGTAGACAACGTATGGGTGACGTCACCCAACGTTACATTACGGCCGTTAGATAACGGCACCGCTTTTCTAGGAAACCGTAGCTTTAATGTTTTATCCACCAAAGGATCAATCGCGAATATTGTTTGTAAATTTCTGTCAAAAAAGACTAAAACTGGCTGCCGAAAACTAATCTAGGTACGCGACGTCATAAAAATAGTTAATGAAAAACGATTTTTTAGTTAACATAGGTATGGTTATGACCGTCTCATGACTGTATGGTTAAAAATACTTTTTTATTAAAGAATCTCAATTAACTAAGAAAATAACAACGATGTAAGGAAAACGTTCAGGCATTAAAAATACTTTCATTCAACAGTTATGAACAAACAGATGGCACAGGACAGAAACAAGAAGGAGTAATCACAAACGAAGGGCGCGAAGATGAGGCTATAGTCAAAGGTTATTTTTCGTGGAGAGCACCAGATGACATGTTGTACACTGTGACATACACCTCTGGTGTCGAAGGTTACAAGCCAACGTTGGAGGTTTTCCGGATTGGAATTAAAAAGGGGCAGGCATTGAAGGTGATTTCTGCTACTCTGAATTCGCATGCGCTTGTTTCACTATTAGGTTAATTAAATGAGTGTTTATAATAAATTTTTATTAGTTTAACTATGTCGTTTTTATGTACACCCTCACACCATATGTTTAAAATGTTAGATCTGGTATTTGTTAATGGTTTGTTATTAGTGTTGATTAATCGGCAAATCGCGCGTCTCCTGATCCTGAGGTCATACGTTGAGACTCTGGTGACTACAATTTTTATCGACGTGAGCAATGTCGAAAACCCAAATTGTCGGTATATTTAAAAGAATATCAAAAAAATTGATATATATAAAACGAAAGCCAGAAACAAGCGTATCATCATCAGTAAAAATCATGACTTTTCCATCATTCTGATTAAAGTTCTATTTCCCATATGTGAGGCAGCTCTTTTGACTTGTCTCGGGATTATTCCAGCTTTCGCCTCTGCAATGACTGACTTCAATAATTAGGTACAAGTATTTAATAGAGCATAGCAGCGTTGGCCTGCGTGCGACTCTAAGACGAAAGAAAAATCTATTCTATAAATTAATTATACCTAATTTATTTCAAAGGTTGTTAATTGAAAGTTGTTGAATTAAACGCCTTAAAACAATTAACATTTAACTGCATTATGCCAGTCAATATCATCTTGCTGCATCTCGCTATGGGATGGAGTCTGGAGCAGCATCGTATTCATCGCTAAAACCAGCGTGCCCATCGCGCTGTTCTTAAGATATCCTATAAAAACCTTTTCGCTTTTTTTAACTTAAAAACTGTAAGAAAAAACTTAACAGTTATACATTTTTGGAAACAGACACTGACCACACCCCATCATACACAACGCAAAGCTACGTAAAAAACGCACTGTCTTCGGCCAACGTTTTTCATCATTAACGTTTCAAAAACAAAATTTTATGGAAGAGACAATTATTAGCCCACGACACAGGGAATCCCAGTGGGGGCTAGTAATTAATATATTAACATCTTATGTAATAGGCAGTTTATTCTACTTGTTTTATAGCTTTTTAGTGTGTTTAGATATTGTACCAATAGATGTTATCACTGCTTCACCAACGCTCAGAGACTAAATTCATTATTATCTTAACATCGGTAAGCATCGAGCACAATATTAATATTTATAATAATATTTTTTTTACTGACTCCATAACTGTTTTTGTTGTTCTCTGTTGTACCTCTTATATTATGAAAAAAATTAAGTACTGATTCGTTCATGTTATACGAGGACATGAATATGCTGTAAAATTAAAATTAGGAAATGTTTATGAATCAGAGTTAAAAATAATGTATGCGATGTAAGTTTAGATGATAAAGTGGTCGCTAGGGATTTTGGCATATAAACAGTTTATAAAATTTATCTTACGCTGGCCATAGACGGACCGCATAATGCAGTCGACTACGACTGCTTGGAGCAGTTGTGTTGGACCGCAAAATAATACTGATGCGAGTTCATTTACAAGATGGATTTCGATGAAGAAACACTGCTACTTATACTATTATTACGCGAGCGTAGGCGTAGAAGACACCGTAGTTTGTGGGTGCGTCCAATACTACAATCCAGAGAACAGCATGGAATATTTCATACTTTGTATCACCAGTTGAGAGAAGACACTAAAAAGTTTTTCAACTACTTAAGAATGTCCGTGGTTTCATTTGATGAATTAGTTAGTATTTTATTTTATTTGAGGGAGTGGCGTGCGGTCGGTAGCAACCGCTTGTAGCGGTCCGTGTATGGTAGGTCCGGCAGCTCTAAGCAGTCGACCGCACGGCGCAGTCGACCGCACGGCGAAACTCGACCGCAGAGCGACTGCTCCGACCGCTCAGAAACTGGTCGTGTATGGCGGATATGAATTTAGTATGGAAACTGCAGTTCGCCGTGCGGCGACCGCTTAGAGCAGTCGGTATCGACTGCAACATGCGGTCCGTCATTGGCCACACTTAGTCGCTTAATCTATGACTTTGATTCCATTGAATTATATCTTTTTACGAAAGACATAAATGAACTTAATATATAAATAAAGGGAAAAATCTACGAAAGACTAGGCGGTATGGTCGAAAACAAAAAAAAATACAGAAACATAATCCGTAAGTAAAAGGAATCAAAATAATATATTTTAAGAACTGTCCATATAAACACAGAATAGGGGTAATTTTGTCTTTAAATATTATATAATATATATTTTATTTACTAGTTAAATAAGTTAATTTGTCTCATCTATAGGCACAATTTCTTTGGTCACAGATATCGTTTTGACATTTACTTTCTCGACTATCTTTCGGTCTTCTACTATCTTTGCCTCTAGGTAATTGTGTTCTGTGCTCTAGTGAAGTCAAGAGTTTACAGTGTATGTGCCAATTTAATGTACGATTTTATTTTACGGGTTTTTCGAATAATTTATCGAAATGTATGATCCCGCTAGTGATGGCGTTGATCTTAAATCTTGCAGAATATGTTTAACAACAAAGAAACCGCTGTGTCCACTATTTAAATACAAATTATCAGGAAATTATGCTGAAATGTTGACGGCAATTGCTAATGTCAAAGTAAGTTATTCTGATGGACTTATTTTATTTAGGATTTTTGGCTCTTATTGTTATGAACCGGTATATAAATATTTATATGTTTCCCATATTAAATTTAAAGAACGCTACTATGATATACAATAATTCCTCGTATCGTAATAGATTTCGCATTGTAACCTACATTCTTGATGTCACTTTTAATGTATTTACATTGTGTATGTTGATTGAAATTTACTGAAATATAAGGAACTGCCCCGCGGTTTCACTCTCGTAGTGGAAAGTCGGACTATAGATATATTTTTGTTATCATAAAAGTTTTATTTTACGTAGTTTTCTTAGTTTTTAATTACTTCTTTCAGATTATTAGATACATACTTAAATTCATAATCTAATTTAATATATTTTTGAATTCGTAACATCATTTACGTAGACATTAGTAAATTTAAAAATGCTCTACAGGTATTGAAAAATTCTTGATTTCAAGAAGGTAAGGTAATGAAATAATTTTTTTAATCAGTCCAGGAATTTTTAACTTGATTATTATAGATTGTTAAAAATAAAAACAAAAATGCTCAATGCTAAAATTCTATAATATTAGATAAGAGATTTATTTGTGGAACTAAACTGTGGTAGCAAAATAATTTAATGTTTTGGAGTTCCAACTTGGGATAGGCCAAAAGACAATTTACCCATGGGTAAAACATTCTTTTTGTTGGTATTGATACATTCTATAATACTGTACAATTATTTTTTTGGGTCTATTATTAATAGTTTCCACAACACACGCAATGACAGATTTTTTATGGATAATTTTCTACACTTTTTACATAATATATACATCATATTATTGCATTTTTATTAGGGATCCCTATTTTTAAAAAATAATAATATAGTCTATGTCAGTGAGTGAAGATGCAACTTTCTTATGGTAAAATAATTTTTGAAATCGGACCAGTAGTTTTTGTGTGAAAATGTTACAATCATACATACAAAAATTCAAATGTTTCCTCTTTATAATATTAGTGTAGATTAAATTACTTGTATTTTATAGTTAATTTTAAATGTGTGAAAACATTTCTTTTTAGGTATTACCAACTGATGGCCTTCCTGAAAAAATATGTCTTAAATGTTGCACCACTTTGGAAAAAGCATATCTACTTAAAACTGTTGCGGAAAGGTATTAAAGAATTTGTTATTGTAAAAAGCTGTAATTATAAAAAAAATAACTATAATTTTTTTTATTTCTAGGTCTGACAGAAAAATGAGAAAAATTATCCAAAGTTTAAAACCAACTGCAAACACAAAGAAAATAGCATTTAATTCCCTTACTGATATCAAAGATGAGATTGGACCGCTTGTTAAATCAGAGCCAGGAATGGAGGTGGAAATAGATGTCCTTGCACCAAATTGTGTTCCTAATGCAGAACCGGTTGATGGTAAAGATATTATAATTGCAAACACAGTTATAAGGAAGGTAGAGAATGATAAAAAATTCAAAGTAGAAAATACAGATTTTGATGTAAGTATTTTTGAATTTGAGCTCCACATTTTAAATTATGTTTCAAATCATTAAATTGTCTATGAAACAAATAGTAAAAAATAATATTGTTGTCACCCAAAACATCAAAATCCAACTTCTTGTCTTTAGTCAGGGCAAGTAAATTAAAAAAAAGTCCTACCTTCATGGGTCAAAATATGCATTTAATGTAAACATTAAAATGCCACAAACGGGTCACAACATTTTTTTCTTTTTGTTTTCTGGGAGTTGTATATCTTGATACACATACAGGGACCTTAGTCAAGATGCCTTAACAGTAGTGAATGTAGAAAGTCAAACACTAAATTTGTATGAAAACTTTTCGACACGAACTGTCATTTCCATACAAATTTAGTTTTCATGTAAATAACCTTTTTCTTTAATGTGAAATTTGACTAAACTAAAGTTGCAATTGCAATATATGTAACATAAAAAATTGTTGAGGTATCAAATGTATGTAACATTTGCAATTTTTTTAACAGTATGTGTTTACAACAATGTCATTTTATCAATATGCTTTGTCAGTTATAGAATAAGATTGTCTCATCTGTTTCAGAATGATTTCTTCACTGATTACGGTATTGATAATGATGAAGATGATGATTATTTACCACCTTTAGAGAAATCAAAAAGTAAATTTAAGAAACCAAAGTTATGTGATATAAAAGTATTTAATACTAAAGGCAAAAAAACAATTATAAGAAAAGTAAAGGTGGTAAAACAAGTGAAAAATACACATATTGACGGTGACAACAAAAGAACTACAACAATTACATGTTGTAAGTATCAGTATTAACTTAATTAGTCATTATAAAATTTCAGCTGAACTATTTATTCAAAATAGTTATATTTTTTAGTTTGTTTTCAGTTTTTTGATGATTTATTAAGAATCAACAGGTCATTTGTCTTACAGGATATTGTATTCCGTCATCTAAATTTCTGATTACGTCATATTAATGCAAATGAACGGATTGAAAACAGACAAGAATAAACATAATTTAAACTTGTACTTTAAATAAAAATTAAACAACTATTTAATATTTATTATTAATATAATTGAAATTCAAATTATCTTCTCTCTCTATCTCTATTTATTTCTGAAGAATTAATTAAATTTTCAGTTCCAATTCTCAAAAATGGAGCAACAGGTCCACCAATACTATTGAAGAGACCGAAAGATGCAACAATTGTTAAACCAAACTCCAATGTAGATAAACAGAGAACTGTTCGTGTTTCAAGAGATGCAACTCCTGGAAAACAGAGAGAAAAAATGGTGTGCCCCGTTTGTGGCATTTTAACATTTACGTTAGGAAATCATATGTTAACACATGAAGGTAAAACTTTTAAATTTTTTACTTGCTCTGGATACAAGTTTGTTGGTAAGATTGAAACATAGTGTTAGCAATTTTTCTATGTTATTGATGCATTAAAGATTGACATTTGATTTATAATAATTAAAACTATTCTACATATTAAATATAAACTTTATAATTACTAGATTGGTTTGTTGACAACTGAATACATTAGCTTTTATGTCACAGAAACCGATAAGAAGAAAACCATAATAGTTTTAATTTTTGTTATAAAAAAATACATGTCCCTTCTCCAACCAACCTTTAAAACCTGTATATTGTGGTTAACAGGTTAGCTAATATACATGTTCCTTAGAATTTATTGATTTTAGTTTCCGTTTAGATCTGAATACGCCCACGGAACTTAAGTTGTCCATATAAAAATCTATTGTTTAATTGCAAGTAATGTTTGTAAGGTCTCTGTAATATATTCATAATACAATATAAACTAAATTAATTTAATTAAAATATCTAATTAGGGAGCGTTCAAGTATTACGTAACGCAATGTTTGGAGATTATTGACACCCCCCCCCCCCCATGCCACTCGCCGTAACATTTTTCAGTACCCAAGTACAGTACTGTACCCAAGTATAGTAAAACGTTTCGTGACCACCTAGTGACCTTGTTAAAGGGTGTAAGCGAAAAAAACATTAACAAGGCCGCCCCCCTCCCAGGGGACCAAAAAAAGGGGGCCCCCCCTCCCAAAATACGTTACGTAATACTTGAACGCTCCCTTAGACATGCCTTCATTGACTTTTTTGTTGGCATTATTGGCTCTAAAACTTTTCTCTAGAACTCAATATGTTTCTCATACTTCTCATAGTTTTCGTTCGACCGTTTGCTCTCCGTCTTACTTTGCAACTCCTACTATGAAAAAGTCGTTTAATTGTATGGATTAATATATAGGCAACGACACAACGTGGCTTTTACTATTGGTAAAAGAACATTCAAAATCGGCTTAGTGATGACACCAATTAGCTCACAAACTACCTGTTTATATGTAACATTATGTTTATGATAAGAAACTTTTCCTCTTTTCAGAAAAAAAGAAATTCAACTGTACACAGTGCGATAGAACATTCTCACTCAAAGCAAACTTGGTTTCGCATATTAAAAAGCATTCCGGTATCAAAGACCACATCTGCGAAGTGTGTGGAGCTGGGTTTTACACACAGAAATCTTTACTTAGGTAACCATATATAGAATGTTTAGAAAACAAAAAGAGTTTATCTATTTCAGGTTTTTTTTTATAATTTAGGTTAGGTTTTAAGGGAGCGTCATGCAATTTTTGGAGATTATTGACAACCCCCCCCCCCCATGTAAGGTGCCGTAACGTTTTTCTGTAAAACGTTTCGTGACCACCTAGTGACTCTTTATACCTAAACGTTACCATCGTCTTTTCTATTGCAGACACAATTTGATTCACAAAGGAGAAAGGCCATACCAATGCGATTTATGTTCTAAGAAGTTTATTGCGGTAAGTGTAACCAAAAGTCAAAATCCTTTATTCGATTTCAGTTAAACAATACAATAATTATGGACGTCCCAAAGAAGAACATATTAAACTGCTTACGAAGTTGCCACGTTCAAATGGCGACCATTCGATTCTAAGTTATATCACGTATACGGTTTTACCGTATACGATGCAATCGTTCACACGGCAACCTTCGTTCGATTCCTTTCTCGATCAAGGAAATAAAATCCTCGATCAATATTCGAATTCTGTCCTCCTTTTTGACAACCGTACTGTTGCAACGCACAAGGGCAATGCGGGCCTACCGTGCGAGTGCGAAGATTCAAAAATCGAATGGGAAAGTCGTGTGAACGAGACAACACGTACATATGCGCCACTGCGAGTCGTATTCGATAATAATCGTTTCGAGACGCGGCGATTTCCAGTGACAACTTTGCACGGTATACGGTAAAATATAAGTTTCTCGAGGACGGGATTTTCCCGTATGAACGCCGTGTAAACAATTTTTAAGTTTTACATAATGTATTCTGTTGTTTCTACTCTATTTTCGTTAAAATCTCGTACTACGGTATACGGGAAAATGATCGCCGAGTGAACGTGGCATAATGCTTCTAAATAAACATTTAAAGAATCGGCTGTTTCCGGCGGTACGACTTCGCCAGGCGGTAGTACGGTAAAATATATTTCGCTAACACGGGATTTTCCCGTATAACGCCAGTTCTAAAAAATATTTAAATTTTCGTATATTTCTGTTGTCAGACACAATTTGATTCAAAATGTAAACGGCATACGGGAAAGCGATTTATGTTCTCGAAGAAGGGATTATTCCGGTATGAACGTGTAAACAATATTTAAGATTTCATTTATTCATTTTGGTATCACTACTTATTCGATCAAAAGTACTCGTAAATGGTATACGGTTAAAATTTTACATTTTTTGCCAGTCAAGGGAGTTTCCGTACGGACGAGCTGTGCAATACGCCAATATTTAAGTTTATCACATATATTTTGTTGTACACTACTCTTTTCGATAAAATATCGTATAAAACAGTAAAAGGGAAACCACATAATTCTCGAACACGGGATTTTCCCGTATGTAGCCGCGTAAACAATATTTAAGTTTTCATATATATTCGGTTGTCACTGAATATATCGTTAAAACGGGTTTACGGTATAGGGGTAAATATATTTCTAAAAATTGCGTTTTCCCGTAATACTTGAACTCTCCCTTAAACTATTTACCTGGTTTCATGTATATTCTGTTGCAATACTCTATTCGATGAAATCTCGTATACGGTATACGGTAAAATATATTTCTCGAACATCGGGATTTTCCCGCTGTGAACGCCGTGTAAACAATATTTAAGTGTTCATATATATTACCTGGCCTTATATAAGTCACATACGTGCTTTTGATAAGAGATAGTCGGCTATACGGTATACGGGAAAATTGTCGCCGTCTGAACTGTGGCCTAATAGATACCGGACTGTTAGTGTTTCGTGTGACAGAGATGACGCTCTACAAAGCGAGTATCTCTTTCTAAAGCACTATGCGACTTATAAATGGCCTGGTACTGTACAACTTCTCAATCTTAGCTACTGGGCCTTCGGGCCAGTCAGTAGTTAGACTTGCAGAAGAACCCCTTTAGGTTAGAGGAAATGTTTACCATCCTTTTAACTAAGATTAAAAAATTATCCAATTTTTTCCAGCGATGCGACTTAACACGCCATTTACGTATTCACGCGGGCTATAAGCCCTACAAATGTAACACTTGCACGATGTCATTCAACGCAAAGCATCAATTGCAGAATCATGAGCGGATGCACACCGGCGAACGACCTTATAGTTGCGAGGTAATTATTTTTACGACAGCTGTACTTGTACTTTACAATAAATATTTGATATATGTATAAATCGGTAATAAATCTAAAGGCTGAGTGCAAGCGACCTGATAAGCAATAAAACAGAGAAATTATTTTTGAAGTTATGAAAAATGGATGAGAGTGAAATTTTACGATGCGCGCGCACCGTGACACAAAATTAACAGAATGAAGTTCCCCACGGAAGATGCTACGGCATTGGACATAATTTATAAACAACATTCGAATAATAATAGAATTTATGTTACACTTAATGTAAGAGAATATTTATTTATTTAATTTTTCAAATGTAAACTGAACTGAACTGAACTTTGATTATTTCATTGTAATTAATTATTTGCATGCAATCAAAATCTATTTTTAATAATGCCAAAGAAGTATAACTTCTTACGCGCGTACATAAGTACACGCACCCTTTTTTAAATATTTTGTCATTGTTAATATTCTATTTTATAATCCTTAGTGTTTCTCTAGAATGTTAAACCAAATACAAAATTAAAGTGCATTTTGCTTAAGGAAATTCTGGTGTAAAGGAACGTGTCGCTTGTGTCATTGGAATTGAGATTTTGATTAATGTGTCAAAATCTAACCTATTGTTTTATTTTTCGTTTTATCTTCGAAGCTTCCAGAATTTTTTATATAGATGCTTTATCGTTTCTGTGAATTCAATAATCGGTAATTCATATTATATTTTCGTAATGTCTGCCTATTATTTTTATTAATTTTCTATTCCAGGTATGCAACGTCGCATTTAGTTATAAGGTTAACTTAAACAATCACGTATACAAAACACACGGTATTAATATTAAATTCAAATCAATCCATACGGTGACCGAGGAAGTATTGCGTCGGGAAATGGGAATGCTCAACGAAGCTCGGGTAGCTATAGCGCACATAATTCCACAACTATCTGAGGTCCCGACACCGGGCGCACATGAAACGGTCCATCATACAACAGACTATAACGTATAGAATTTCCATAGACTAAGTCATCACACAGACCATGTATAAATATCACAGAGTATACGTCTAGATGTATCGTCATGTTTTGGTGAAGAGGTTTGTTACCTCTGCTCTATCAATGTACATTTATTAAAGCAAGTAAAAAGTCGTATGATGTTAAACCGAATCATCTTTATTGAGATTTTCTCGGATCGATATTTACAGCAAATGAATTGTGACACTTTCATTTAGTAATAAATTATTTAATAATTACTGTTTAATATAAAATATTTGTAATGTCCTATGGATCTTTTATTTCATATTCTAACCATCTAGTATGTATATCCCCTTACGTTTGTATTTTTTCTGTGTGTCTTCAAAACTATTGCAATTTGAACCGAAAAAATCATAAATTTAACTGCTTTGCTTTAGGTGTACTACCTATATAATAATATTAAGTTAGGAAATAGATCATAAGTTGGATGGTATGGAATGATATTGTCTATGGGAAATATGGTTGATATATTAAGCAAGTGTGAATTAATGTGTTCCAATCCGACGTGTTTTTGACGGATCGACATTATTTCAGTATTTTGACTTGTCTCTGACGTTAATCAAATTTGTCTATTAGGATTAAAATGATTGATTATATTATTATTAACTCAAGATTAGGTTCTTATACGATAAATTGAGTAATTTTATGATTTCACTACGCTTGTTAACACAATTCATATTAAGTTCAATGTCTTACTTTAAGTTTGTTTTCTTTCATTAAAAGGAAACATCGAATTAAATGCGAATATAATGATAACCTTTTATTCATTTATAGTCTAATCTTGTACATAATTTAATAGTGTTCTCGAATATCCACAGTACAAAGGCAGGCAACAGATACGGGCTTCTTGACAGCAATCCATCGTTTTCTCAAATCATCAGGCAGTTCTTCCATTGAATTTTCGCCATATGTCTTTCTCCTTAAAACAGTTATCTGTAATGAATTAATCATTCATATAAGGATTTATTTATATAAGAGAAATATTTCACAAGACGTAATTACTATTGATATCGCTTTCCTAGATATTTTTACTTTATAGGTAGGATCGGGCTTCCGGTCTTAAGACTGGCTGATTCGATTTTAATAGTGCATTTAAAAATTATATTATTTTAAAGGTACCTACATGAATAGAACGAGTTCGTAATTAAAATACATCTTCATCTGATTAAAACGCATCATTGCGTATATTAATAATTTATTTCAAACGAGTTTATAATTTATATAACTTTAGCGTTGTACCTATATAAATAAAATTAGTTATTCAATTTTTGTGGACCCTTAAAGGTTATATTAAAAAAATCTTGGCCTAGTAGGCTTCAGACTTGATATGAATTCATCCCTGAGGTGCGTTCAAGTTCGATTCCCGCTTTAACAAATGGACTTTTTTCTTGTGCGCTTTTGTAAAACGTTACGCTCGAACGGGGCGGGGGAAAATATTATTTTGAAACCGACTTTCCAGTACGTCGCAGCACATAATGGTAACTTTTATGTATAAATTCTCACTGGGTAGTCACGAAACGTTTTACTATATCAGAGGCACAGACCTTTGGAGTTTGTAGCGCCACTGATTTTTTAAAGTCGGTTATATTTTAACGTTAGAATACATTCTTAATAAACGTACACTTACATTATACACACGTCTTTGGCAGCTGTAGGGTGGCGAACAAAGTCCTGTATTACATTTTATAGTTTCAATATAACTTGGGACGTAGTCTTCACCAAGAATTAAAACGTCTCCCTATGAAATGAAATAATTAAAAGGGTTAAAATACATCAATACATTACAGACATATTTTCTATAAAGAATACATACGCTCTCCTGCTCGCAGCTACAAGGTGTCTGATCACCATTCTGAAATATTAAAAAATATTTCTAAATTTACGTAGGCGCTTGATCGAAAGCTAGAAAATGTAATTTTATATAAATACTAGCTGACCCGGCAAACGTTGTTTTGCTATGTATATTATTTCTAGGAAACTTTTTTTTAGTTCAATAAGATAACTATCTAATATTATAAAAAATATCGGTTGATCTTGGAGGGGTCCCCCGGGGAAATTTGGTTTTTTTTTTTTTTTTTTTTTTTTTTTATTAAAAAAAAAAAAATTTTTTTAAAAAAAAAAATATTTTTTTTTATCACTTAGGGTTTTGAAAGATAGATAGTAGCCGATTCTCAGACTTACTGAATATGCATAAAAAATTTCATAGAATCGGTCGAGCTGTTTCGGAGGAGTATGGGAACGAACATCGTGACACGAGAATTTTATATATTAGAGAGATAATATATTATTTCTAATATAAATTTATTATATAAAATTAGTTTTTTATATATAAATATAGTGTATCATAAAAATATCAAATGAGATTGTATCAGTATTTAAGTCAAATTATTAATCAGCTCCTTGAGGTTATTAATTGTCGGTAAAACAAATAATTTACTCTTTGATACATTTTTATCAGTCACAGACTATCAGAGAAGAGTGACTATAAAAACATCATGTGAGGCTGGATCACAAGAGAATAATTGTCACCGAGACAAATTTAATGACGTGGAATAAGTGTTACCTGTATCTTATATTCCATAATGAACATATGTATTTTATTATTTTTAAATAAATACTCACATAGTTCTCGACTTTAACATTCCCGCGTTTTCTTGTTCTTGTTTCTACGGAATTGTCCAAGAGTACGATATCATTCCGTATCATATTAGCATAGTCGACAATAAGAGCAGGCAATTCGTCGGATCTCTCCGAGTTATATGATCTCGCATAGGCTATACCAAAATTATCATCACGATTATCGTCTGACCCTCGAAGAACGTAGTTCTGCCTCATGTGAGTTCTTTGATTTTCCATTGTATACTCATCAACATTTGAGGTTTTCTTTAAAGCCACGGTCCAAAACGGAATGAGAAGTATTGACGCAGCGAAAACTTCGAATAGTAGGAAACTGTTTCGCATCTGAAAATAGTTTTTGAGATATAAAAATTATAGAAAAAGTGGTCAAGATGTTTTGATAGAAAAATTTGATTTGTTTGGTGTAAGTACTTTACCCCATTATTCATAAAGACTAAATCAGTCCAGCGCTCTTATTACTGAAGTACTCTTTTGGCTCTTTCAGACAAATGGTGTTTATGCTGTGACGCAAAGAGACAGTTAAGTACTTTACAACAACGTGGCAATTGGATTGATTATTTTTGTATGAATAAAGGGTTACATTTGAGGGGAATTGATACTGTGTATTTACTTTAATGATTGTTACTGGAAATATAGTTATTGAGATTAAAATTGTAGGAAAGCGATCAGGATTTTTGAAGTGCAACTTCTTTAGGCGCATGAGGGTAATTTTTTTACGGAACGTCACGAAGATGAGCAGCGTTTATGTGGAAGAAAAGGGAGAGAGCGATTGAGACCGATTGAGAGAGAGTGAGAAGGGTGAATTACCATATAGAAATTATATTTTTAAAATTTAAATTTCGTAACAGAATTTATGAAATATTAGTATTTTATGCAAAATAATTTATTGAAATCTCAAATGTAGAGATAAATTTAAAAATTAAATTGATTATTTGTATTAATTTTCGACACTTTTAATATTTTAATGACAATTAAATTCCTAACATATCTTCCTTTTTCCCTCCCTCTAAGACTCGGAAATCTAAAGTTTTAAATTTGTAAAAAATATGAACAAGAGTTAAAAATTAGTTTGCCAAAGAAGTTTCACTTCTGACATGTGTACTTGGTTCGCACGCACTTTTTTTTACTAAACATTTGACTGTGACCCAAAAGAGTTAAGAACGTTACAACGTGGATATTTTTTTAAATAAATATGGGGGGAATAATTAGGCTTGATACTGTGAATTTATGTAAATAAAATTAAAATCGTTTAAATTGATCAAACCTAGCCGATAGGCGATTAAGTTTAGTTAAGTAATTTGGTTGTTTTGTTTTTGTTCGATACATTGTAATAATAAAGTCTGATAATGGCGGCGATTTGTTTGATATTTTAAAGACTTTTTACTTCTGTATACAGCAACAGTTTTTTTTCGGGTGCCATGACAGGAGTTACATGAAGACAGTTATTAAATCAATCACGAAGACTTTACTGACGTAAAAAGATTTGCTCTCTAAATGTAACACTTAATAACTTACCCTGACGATAATCAATGTCAAGGGCTGGATCTATAATACTTCTGAAACTATTATTTGCCATCTTATATACTCTCATTTGATTGATGTGTTCATGAAAAGCTCCATTAACTTTAGAACCCCGATTTGTAATTGATATCTCTGCTATTGTGTCTAATGGACTCTTATTGTGATGAAGACGTAAGGAGGTGCCTATTTTATCCGGTTGACTGTCAGAAAATCGATTGCTATATTTAGGTATTTCGTATAAAGGCGGGACGAAGCCTCATTTATTTATAAATTTGTAAGAAACCCCGCTAAGTGAAAAATTTGTGACGACAGCTTCAGCTACAAATATTGTTGAGGTCGAACCCTGAATCGCACATCACGCCAACAGTTATTCCGACCACTAAGGGAGCGTTCAAGTATTACGTAACGAATTTTGGGAGGGGGGGGGTATCCTTTTGTAAAACGTTAAGATGCGGGCTGGGGATTGAATTACGCGTTATTGTTAATATTATTTAATAGTTACGGGCTACGGCGCGTTACAGGGGTGAGAGGGGTGTCAATAATCTCCAAAAATTGCGGGACATAATTCTTGAACGCTCCCTAAGTATACATACACATATAACGGTGTTTCTTGCAACAGCCATGGAAGAACTGTTCCAAGGACTCGAGCTTGAAATTAGGAATGTAGGCCTCGCAGTGAACAGAGCAAAACCCAAACTGATAGTAGATTGAGCTAGAAACCTTCCATGTGTATCTTGCAACATTCCTGGTATCAGTATCGTTGACCGCTTTATATATCTCGGATCCCTCTAATGACGGCAGCTCTGTTCCAGAGATAAAAAGGGGAATCGGCATGGCTAAAGATGCCATGACACGTTTGGGCAACATCTGGAAGAAAAGAGGAATATCAAAACCAAAGTAAGACTGATACGGGCTCTAGTATTCCCTTCCCTATCTTCCTGTATGGAGTAGAAACGTGGACATCTTGGCTTGAGCAAGGCAAAGGATGTGCCTTTGAGATGTGGTGCTGGCAGCGAATGCTCCGAATACCTGCGAAGCGCAACAATACATCGATCCTGACCCAACTCCGCATACGGACTCGCCTGTCTACCATATGCCGACAGCGATCTTATTTCGGCCATATAATGCGCAGGACCGATGACAACTTGGAGAAACTGATCACGTGCCCGTTCTCCAACGATGGACCGATCAAGTGAAAGACTCATCGTCCTCTCAACTGTACCTACACTGTCATAAGAGAGGCGCTGGACAGACACCGGTGAAAACATATAGTCCACTCCAGATGCTTCCTTGCTCATCACGAAGGTCAGCCATATGTACAGCATCTTGACCTTACCACTGGAGTCCTTTACGACTGCCTGCCAACAGTGTAAACTGGTCAAGAAGGAAGCGCTAAACATCCTTGCTCCACAACCTGCACCGTGCAAGCTTAGACTGAATTGTTTGACTCCACGAGGTCCCGACATTTTATTCAAGATTGCTGCTAAGTTTTTGGATATAAGCTGCTTCTAAAGACGCAGTCTTGTATTTTAAATTGGCTATGCCAAAAATCAACCTGGAACTGTTTATGAAAAACACCTTTTGTATGGCAATCAAGGTTTACAATAATTTACCAAAAGAATTAAAAGATCTTCCGACCAGAGTTTTTAAAAATCGAGTTGGTGTATTGATTTTGGAAAAAATTTATTATTCAATAAATGATTATTTGCGTGAGACACTGTAGTTGATATAAATTTAATAACGGATGATATGAAATATACGATACAAATAATATAAGAATTGACCAATTCATATGACTAATCATGTAAAATTCCTTTAAAGACAAATTTGCGCGCCATTGTGTGTGGCATAATATGCGAACTTACGATTGTACCACCTTACACATTTTCGCGAGAAATGAAGATTCCCGCTAGGACTTTGTCGCGTTCTATAAAACAAGACCTGAAGCTCGGTGCTTATCGACAATATACAGGACATGCCCTAAATCAATCTTTACAATAATTAAAGAGAGTGGATCGATCAAGACGCCTTCTGTCGCGATACGCAGGTGAAAAGCACAGAAATATCCTCTTTACCGTTGATAATATATTCACGATTGAAGAACACTACAATAAGCAAAATGATAAAGTTCTAAAGAAGCTGCTTAAATCGGAAAGCTACAACTTGGTCATCATCCTGCGTCATTGATGGTTGCGCGTGTCTTATCAAGGAGTCACAAAACTAAATTTTTGTGAAAACGGAGTGAAAATTTCAGCCAAAGTGTATCAAGATACAGTCTCGGATCATGGTGTGAAACCTCTACACATACACATTTTAAAAATATACCGTGGCCTTTCCAGCATGATTCTGCACCTGGTCACTAGGCACGAACTATCCGTTCCGGACTTTATAAGAGCTGAAAGAGACTGGCCCTCATCTAGCCAAGATCTCAACCCTTTACTTGACTTCAAATAATGGTCAGTTTTAGAGGACAAGGCCTGCTCTAAACGACATGGCAACCTAGAGTCTCTTAAAAAATCTTTGGAGCAAGCAGTGGCGAAATTTCCCTTGGAAACAGTGCGTAAATCCATAGATTTGTGGCCTGTATAAAAGCTAAAGGTGGCCATTTCGAATAGATTTTTTGGATAAAGATAGGTATACATTTTAATATTATTACATTAATTCATTAAAAAAAATCATTTTCATTTGTAACAGAACTTGGCTGGACTAGGTATATAACAAATATTGATAATTATATAGGGATACTAGTGGACCCCACAGACGTTGTCCTGCATGATATTTAAAGCGATTAGGATATTAAGCAAAGTATGAAAGTACCGACTGCAGTGCCATCTGCCGGGCTGATTTGTGAATCTAAACCATTCCCAGATCCCCTTGAACACACACAAAAAATTTCATCAAAATCGGTCCAGTCGTTTGAGAGGAGTTCAGTCACATACACACGCACAGAAGAAATATATATATTAAGATGGGAAAGAGTAATACTCTTATATATGTATCAACTATACAAGTCTATGCCCCTGTGACGCATCGGACGAAGGCATCAATAGGGGAGACCGAGGGGATTTGAAACAGAGGTGATTTGAAACAGTACCGATTTCTTGGAACTTAAAACCGTTAGCGAGTTGGCAACGTCGCTTTTTAACCACTTCCCTCCGCCCGCTGACGGGTCAGTTCGCGTAGGTGGCGTAAGTCGCGCGGTTGTGGAGTCCTGCGAGTCATGTGATAAAAATCGATAAAAGTAAGTTTTCAAACTTTTTTAACGATGCCTATATTTTGATAACGGTTATGTATTTTGGTTTAAGTTATATATTTTTCGAAAGTTTATTAACTAAACATTTATTATGTATATTTAGTACAATTGAGTTTTGTGTATTTTCTTGTTGATTGTGGATTTAATAAAACTTAGGAGGTTTTTTCTTACTGAGGAGATTTGAAACAGGCTGTTTCAACTCTCCTCGTCTTAAATTTTATGACAGCAGGCAATAAATAACGGGCACAAAAAATGTTTTGTTTGTTGATTTAATCTGTTTATTTTGTTTTAGAATGCCTACTGATTATAAAAGAAAGACTGACAGAGGTATGGCGAGTCGCGAAGTATATGATCTTGCAGCAGAAGAAGTAAATTTGCGACAGAAAAGTCTCCGTGACGCGGCTTCGAGTTACAACCTGAACCATACTTCCCTGTATAGGTACATTAAAAAAAAAACTGCTTATGAAGCTAACGAAGACGTAACTGCTCCAACGGTTGGATATCCTGAAAAAACGGTTTTTACAGCTTCAGAGGAGAAGATACTCTGTGACTATCTTTTAAACTGCGCTGCTGCTAACTTTGGCCTAAAAACTAAGGAAACCAGAACTTTTGCCTATAGATTGGCTGTAGAATATAATAAAAAAATTCCTTCTTCTTGGACTGAGCATGAAATGGCTGGAGAGGTTTGGCTTCGATCTTTTATGAAACGTCATACTGTTCTTTCTCTAAGACTACCTCAACCCACAAGTATCGCTCGAGCCACAAGTTTTAATAGAGCAAACGTACAACTTTTTTTTCAAAATTATACCGCAGTAGTTGACAAACACAAGTTGCAAGGGAAGGATATATGGAACGTTGACGAAACTGGCATTACAACTGTTCAGAAACCAGACCGTGTCATTGCCCGACGAGGACAGAAACAAGTGAGTGCCATGACTTCCGCAGAGAGGGGAACATTGGTAACTATAGCACTAGCAGGAAATGCCACTGGGAATCACATACCCCCAATGTTCGTCTTTCCGCGGAAAAGATTTAAAGATCACTTTATACGCGATGGACCTACTGGATCAATTGGCACTGCGAATGGGTCAGGCTGGATGCAAGAAGAAGACTTCTATATATTTCTTAAATTTTTCAAAGACCAAATAAGACCATCAAAAGAAAATAAAACACTATTGTTATTAGATAACCACGCTTCACACATAGCAGTTAAAAATATCGAGTTTTGCAGGGAAAATGGCATAATTCTATTAACTTTTCCACCTCACTGCACCCATAAGTTGCAGCCAATGGACAGAACCGTTTTTGGGCCAGTGAAAAAAGCAGTTAACACTGCTTGCGACAATTGGATGCGGTCTAATCCAGGAAAAGTAATGTCCATCTATGATATTCCTGGGATAGTGAAAACATCGTTTGATATAGCCGTCACACCGCGCAATATATCTTCCGGATTTATTCATACCGGACTTTGGCCAGTTAACACTGAAATATTCCAGGATGCAGATTATTTTCCGAGTCAAATTACTGATCGACCTTTGGCAACTTCTGTTAGTCCTGGTCCATCCAACTCTAACTTGATGGGAATTTCAAGAACTGAAGAACCCGCGCCATGTCCTACTTCTGGCACAAGTGATGAACGTCCCCTTGCAAACAGTATTTTACATGATTCTCGTACACCAAGTCCATCAATCTTAAATTTACCGACTACTCCACCTCAAATCAGCTACGAAACAGAAGATTTAGTACGCAAGTCTGCAGGAAATCCTGATAAGAATTCACCTGATCTGGCGATATCTGAAGTAACTATCACGATGCCTTCAACCGCTGATTCCGTTGTTTCCTCCACAGTCTTTACGTCTGATATAATACCAGTAGCATCTACATCACGAGATACTTCAATTGCTGTGACAGCAATTCCATTCTCACCTGAAACTCTTAGACCTTTGCCAAAGGCTCCACCAAGGAAAGGACATCAAACAAATAGACGCAAAGTGAAATCCGCTATCTTAACCGACACTCCCGTTAAGGATGAACTAGCTGCAATCGAAGCAGCTAGAACGTTAAAGAAAAAGGTGAAAAAACCTAACTTTGAAGAAACAAAAACAAGAAAAAGATCAAAACCAGGCACTAAAACTAAAAAGATGAAGGTTGTCAAGAAAGTAAAAGGAAACGAAGACAGTGAAGAAGAAGAATCCTTTTGCATTTGTTGTTTTGAGCCATATTCAAATAGCAGAGCCAAAGAAAAATGGGTGCAATGTTTGGAATGCAAAAACTGGGCTCATGAAGCTTGCACTGGTGGGGAACTTTCCTATGTTTGCCACAACTGCTTGTCAGATTGACGTTTTTTATTTTCATAATATTTTTATTTTTGACATTTGTGAGATTATTGATACTTAAATATTTGAAGAAATATTGATCAAGACTGATTGTTATAGTTAAGACTACTTACTTTAATAAATACCTTAAATTATATCGTCATTTTTATTTTATAGCCCTTAATACTTTTCAAAAATCATATGTTTCAACTCTCCTCGGCCCCTGTTTCAACTCACCTCGGTATGAGTGGAGTTGAAACAAGTTGACTTGTTACGGTTAAGTCGATTTTTCACCATAATATTTAACGCTTACAATTTCTTTATGTTAGTCATTCGCAAGTGTAAAGAATGACCTATCGATTGGTACTAATATCATACGATTTCTCTCGATAGTATTTGGTGTATTAAAAAAAATTACAAAATTGTTTCAACTCCCCTCGGTCTCCCTCCTTTTATATTTTTATAGCATATCGAAACAGCACAAAAACTAGGTCATGGTAAAATATCCTTGTATAATTAATTAGTTAGAGACAAAATATCCAGCCCAACGTCATGGGCACCTATTGCAATGATACTATAAACTCTAGAAGCAACTTCCTGCTGCAATGCACAAGCAAATAGATGCACCTTCATAGACACAATATTCAATAGGAATATTAAGAACCTATGGACTTAGATGTCTCCAAAACACCGACATAAAATCAAATATAATATTCTGTACGTTCCTAAGTTATATTACTGGCCAATTCTTAACATTTTCAGTGTTACCCACGTATATAATTCAAATATTGCAAATGTCACAAGATCGTTAAAATTTAAATACTGATCATAAACTACAGATCAGATTGTATATTTAAGAGGCCGTAAGTCGACTGTCTGACTAGGTCCAAATACCCAAAATAAATTCTTGTAATCAAATTTTTATAAGGACATTCTTTTTTCTTAAGTCGAGCCTTTGATTTATCACCAAAACAATAATTATGTACTTGCGAAACCGATCCCCGAATCTGGAATCAGCTTATACAATCTCAGATTTTCTTAAGCAACTGGGCTATTGTGGTTATGAAGTTTCTATAGGTATAGTCACCTCAAGCCTGACGAAAGAAAAAGAACTACCTATTTCTTTCTGCTTAATCATTCAATGAAATTGTTTCTTCTGATTTCGAAAATCAGTTAAAAGCCTTATTCAAGCCAGGAATCCGTGCTTATCTTGCACCAATTCCTTAAATAATTTGTTATACAATTGGTAATTAAATATTATGGTTAAACTTGACTAAAAAAATGTGTTGTGTAAATTATGTACCATATCAGTTCCCTTACTGAAAATTCTTATTACTTTATTACATAAATATTTTCAAGTTTTATCTAGTTATCTTCACTTTCTTAATAAAGTCTTAATAAAATTTATTTACCATTGGTGGTATAAATAAAAGAAAAAGCATTGTTAAAAAACTTTTTATTAAAAAGGGGTAGTTTCAAGATGTTAAGGATCTAGTGTAGTATGTTCTCTTTTCGCATAATAACCTGTTCCAATCAGCTTGCAAGACCAAGTTTAGTATCTGTCCCTTATATAACTTAATATCTAAACTATACAAAACCTTACAACCTATCGGCCATTTTGATTGGTCTCCATCTCCTCTTCCACTTCTGAAAAATAGGATCAAATAATTAGTATTCAGATAAAAATGTCTTATGGACTGCTAGCTGGCATGAAAAGAATATATTAATAACATTGTAAAGGCCAGAACAAAAAAATTGCAAATTACTATTATAATAAATTGTCTAATTACAGTTTGAAATAAAAATTGGGTTAAAATGGGTATGTAAAAATGAATACAAGCCACATCAAATCCAATGATTTTGTGTGGCGATGTGTATTAAACTTTAAAAAATATACAGTCAAATCATATTTCCTGCAGCAAATAGGCATAACCAAGTAATACAGAATAGTGCAAGAGGCTAAATTTTTTTGCTATTGCTGCTAATATAATTTCAATAAAAAGTGCTTAATGAAACTTTTAGACCTAGAAAGTGACATTAATTTGGGACAAACAACTTTTGGTTTTAGCTTCTATGGGATACATCATAGAGATGGGCTTAAAACAGAACAAAATGAATATAGTAGATAATCCTATATTACCTTGTCCATTGGTGTGAGTTTGAGGTTGTAGAGGTTTCTGTCCTGGTATTTGACCAGCTTGCAACATCCTTGTCAACCGCTCCACTTCTTGGAGGGATGAAGCATTCTTTATAGCCTCTCGTATCTTGTGAATTTCTTGGGGTGTAAGACCTAGAGATTAAGAAAAAATTGTAAGTTAAGAATTTATATAAGTGGCGCAAAGCTAATTTGTGTTTATTTAAATTTAATGTAGATATAAAACATCTACATCAAATTCTTATAAAAGAAAAATAATTTAATTTAATTAATTATATGTGAAACAGAACATATTTCTCGACTTGCATAGTTACAGAAACTGGTAAATACACACTTGTGACTTTGGGATCTGGCATATTGCCTCCAGGAACGAAGGTCTTCGCTTTTCTTATAATTTCCTTTTGCATTTCCTTTCCTTTCTTGCTCTTAAACAGATTATTTGCCTCTTCCCTTTCCTTCTGCTTTATCTTTCTGAAGTCTAATAATTTTAGTCCAGGCAGTTTAAAAGCAATATAGGCTCTGAAATTTTATGAATAGTTAAACTAAATTTCATCATTAAAGTGTGTGTTTTGATTAGTGTTCAATATGTTACCACTTTATTAAGTATATCTTACCTATAATGTTGTTTATTTGCAACTGGGTTATGCATCAAAGATAATGTCTTTAGTTTTGACAGTGAAGCCAATGGGTCAAGATCACCAAGCTCAGCTAGATTATTGTTTGTTAAGATAAGTGTATCCAAGTTTGGTAAATACTGTTCTAGATTTTCTCCAATTCGTCTGAAATTTTTAATGTTATTTAAAATGATTGCCTAAAACTAGGTGTGTATAAATTATAAGGCTAGACATGCTAATGTATGCAAAACTGTTGTGCCACAATATAGTAGTATACATTTTAGGATAGCAAGAACATCTTGAACATACTTGTTACTTACTTTAAGTTGTAATGACAAATGAACATAGGAAAAGAAAGCTTACACAATATGATAGTAAAAGAAATTACAAAGTTATAACACTTAAGTAAGAAAAAATGTCAGGGAAATTGCTAGATTACCAAAAAGTACTTACACAATTCTATTATTATTAAAGAACATGCATTTTAGTCTCTTTAATAAAGGAAACCCATCCAATTTGCGGATATCATTTTCAGAATAATCTATTGTATCAAACTGGTCAAGAGTGGCGCCCATATTTTCAATTTGAGGTATTTTGTAACCTGAAAAGTAATTTTTAAATCTTAAGATTATGTTTTGATGTAAGGACAGTAAACAGTTTGTATTGTACGACATTACAAAATTACTCGGCTATTCTTTAAAACTGACTCAAGCTTGAGGATTCAACCACCAACATAAACTAACTACTAAAATATCTAGATCAACTGTATGGCACATTATATAATTAAAACAGGGGAAAATAAAAAAAAACTATAGCTATTTTATTTTAAATATGTATTTAAAATAAAAAAAATATATTGCAAAATTCTAACCTCTTAGGTCCAACTCACGATCCCGACACGGATTCATATATTGCATGGAACTTTGAATCAATTCAATGGTAAGTTTCACCATTTTGATAGTTTAGAAAACAAAGGTTTATAGAAAATCGTAATGATCTAGCAATATTAAAAGTCTAACTTTCAGCAGCGGTTACAATATGTGAATTTTGGCATAATTTTTAGTTTACAAACTTAACCATAGACGGCTGACGGTAGAGTGTTGACTGTTGACCATATTACTTAACAGATTACAGATCACTAATTGACAGTACACGATAGTTGACAGTTAGTTAACAGGGGGTCTAGCCAAGATGGCTTAACAGTAGTGTATGTAGAAAGTCGAAAACTAAATTTGTATGAAAATGACAGCTCGTGTCGACAGTCGGTAGCCTAGGCTCTAAAGGCGTGAGTCGGGATACAATAAGCGACGCCATGACAGTGCTACGAAAAGACACACATTAACGCTTACGCTATTCGGTAGCCAACGGCCAATTAATGTTTCGGCAGTGTAGAAAAAACGGCGTTTCTCCGCCATGTTTTAACGTGATCTCAAAAGCTGCTGTTTGCATTAATTCAGTACAACTATCGCCATCTTTAATGGCTACCGATTTAAAAACATGTCATATTTTGAAAGTTTTAACGAAATTGTTTTAATTTGTTATCTGTATTTTTTTAACGTTCTCGTGTAATTATAATAATTTAAACTAGAGTTAATATATTTAAGTTAAGAGTTTTAGTTTTTCTATGAATCAATGCGAAGATAACATAATAGACACAGATAAAAATGAAAATATCAAGAAAATCAGCAAATTAGTAGAGGTAAATCCTGTTAATATTGGATATCTTTTATTGATATTTATATTGCATGTAAGTTCATGAAATTGTTTAATTTGAAAAATACATATTATACCATTTAATATTGCTTATATTATGTAATCACAAAGTAAAATGATTGTACATTTTATTTGTATATTTCAGATGAGAAAGCAGTCACTAATGAACATAATTAGAAGTTCTAAATATATTTTATTGTAATTATAATAGAAGCTAATGATATAATATTGATTTAAATTAATCAAATAAAGTGGATTTATACTTCATGAACTTTGCAAATATAAAATTTAGTGAGCAATACTAAGTAATGGTAAGCAGATATTTTCTTTAATTATTTACTAAGTTAATATACTAGAGAAGTTTATCATAATATTGTTAATGAATGAGAAGTTTGAATTCAAGTCCCTTGTGTGTTACTGGCATTGTTTGGTTATTAAAAACTTTAATTGACAATAAGCAGCAAAGTGACAAATTAAGTATATTTTTAAGTAAAGAGTTTTAATATTAAAGTTACCTATTGAAAAAACCTTGGACCGGTCTTACAGTTTAGTTTGTCAGTTTTCTATTTGATCCAAGTACTAACTAAAATATTTTCTTTTCAGAAAAAGAGAAGCTAATTTTTTTAATCGCCCAGGATGTATTCATAGTAACTGTAGGTATCATAGTAATTTTATGAAATCATCACAACATCTAACGTTAGGTTTTATGAATTGAAATTTTTTTTGTATATAACAGCACACAAACAAGATATTGAGATTGCTACAAATTAACACTTACATTAGTTAATTATCTACATATATGAATACATCATTAGGTAGTAATGCATTTAATTTGGTGCACCTGCGTGTGTTCAGTAGTAATGTCTGTATTGTTTAATAAGTTGTTACATATGCTTATTTTTCTATGTAGACTGCATTATGTTAAGGAAGATATTTGGTGCCTTATTTTAATAAAAAATAACCATAACTGAAACATTTTTATTTTGCTACCTGTTTGTTTAATATTCCTAACTATTAGTAGGTATGGGTAATTCATATATGCATTATCTGTATATTCTTGTAAAATAAACTAATATTGTGAACCACTTTAATGGCTTTTCCTACTAAAGAAGACATAGGTAAATTACCAAAAATAAAACTGACAAATACATAACATACAATGTTTATTCATTTCTTACTTAAACAGATTTTTCATTTACATATTAACTAGCAGCAAATCACTGATATAACCAAAAGTTAATTGACATAAATATTAACTTAAAATCAGCATCAAACTTAAATTTATATCTATTATATCTAAGATGTTGGAGCATCAATATGGAATCAAAGGTTGATTAAGGGTTATAATTTCATACCAGACTAAGTTTCTATTTTATAATTTTTATTAATTCCTCTTTTCATTTCATTGAGTACTTGCTGTTTTTCAATTCTCACTTTCTAAAAGTATAAATATATTATAAACAATCAACTTTTATGACTCTAACTTAAACTGAAATTGTTTGTTGGACATAAACAGAGATAATTCCAACTAGTAGCAAATCACTAATAAAATCTACACTTATATATAAATCTGCTTTCAAATTGACATTAAAAATGTTCAAGCACAAACACCAAACCTAATTAAAGCTTAAATCAAACTCTAATTTCAGTGTTCACACTAGTCTACGTTTTTTTCTATTGTTTTTTAATTCCTTGGACTTTATCAACTTCTAGTCAACCTTATTTTCACTCTTTATTTATCAATACACAGTACTATTTTTATTGTTTCTTCTAAGCGGTAACAAAATATGTTGCTTCTTCATTTTGTAGATTAGTTGTGAGGTCAAATCCTAAAAATATCAAAGTATGAGTACTACTAATTATTATATATCGCGATTATGCAATTTCAAAATATTGTATTTATTTGTAGCCTTAAATTTCTGAGAAAACATGAAACAAACCATAATTAATTTAAACATGCAATTAAAATTCATATATTCACTTTGCACCTTCCGTAAATTCCACTTAAATCGAAAATTGTTCCGACCTTGCTGACATTCTAATGTCCCTTTTGTAGCTTCCAATTGCAAATTTACAATAATATTGTAAAGTTTTAACTTTTATTTGTTTATAAAAGTGACATTAGGAATACATTTAATCCAGAGACAATATGACGGAATAAGGTGCTACGAACAGCAGCTCGCATCTACGCTGTCGACTTTGCGGTAATGTATCGACATGTCTCTTGGCTACGAACGAAGCGTTTTCGACAATACAATTACGCAAAAGCGGTAGTGTATGTAGAATACTTTTCGACACCAATATGGCTAGACCCCCAGGATGGAATAAAATATTCTAACGAGATTGACAGTTTGGTCCAGAGATTACGAAGCTTCTTTTATCAACCTCAAGAAATAAACAGATAAAAAAATTTCTTGATTAATTTCAGTGTTTTGTTGTGAGCCTTTACAAAAGAGCTCGAGTCGCGACTCGAGCCTCGGAACTATGGCCTAACTCTAACTACGGCCTTTAGAATATTCTTCGAGGCTGAAGCTCGAGCCTTCATAGGAGACTCGAGCCTTGAATGAGTTGAAGACTCGGAAGACTCGAGCCTTTTACCAACTCTAATTAATTTGCATCCATCGAAAAGTTTTTTAACTTCTAAAAACTCGAAGGAAAAGGTTTATAGTTCGACGGATGTGCTTTTTATCACACGTCAACATAGAACTAGCGTAAATAATGTAACTAAGTGTATTTTAACTGGTTCCATTCTTACCTTACATACACATAAAATTAAAATAAATAATTTACACAACAAATTGTTAAAATATTTCGGTGATTGTTATTTGGCGGCTAGTTACTAACTTAAGTTTTTTCACCACCTACTTCCTCTACAAGTATTATGCCATCGATATTCAATTTATTTTTATTAGTGTCTGTAGTATTTAACGTAAAATAAACTATTTACATCATACACATAACACAAAAACATATAATAATAACTATTCGAATGATGTAAATAAAGGCCTAATAAAAAAAAAGTAAATAAAATTCCTAAATCTTGGTTTTGTGAGTATATTTAAATTTTAGAGAGTGGCCGGAAAGGGAAGGGTCGCAGTAGTGATAAATTGCCATTTTTTTTCTTGATAATACTGTGACGTCATTAATAATAGTTTAAAAAATTAATGAAAACAATAATAAAATGTAACTATATTAAATAATAATTATAATGTTCAGACGTTAGTTCGCAAAACCGAAAGGGCGGTTCCCGAACGAACTCTATATAGTAAAACTGGGAAAAGCTGACATCGGAGCTTTGAGTTTTGAGTTTGAAATATAAATTAAACGTTACTATAAAATCCGTTATTCACTCCTACAACTTTCTTACTCTATAAATTAAAATAAGAATCCACTTTGGTACGAAGAATAGCTATCGTAATAAATCTTCAATTTATTTACCCACTCTAAACAAATTAATCACCAACTTTACACGAATTGTGCAAATGTTTGTTTTTGTTTTCTTATTTCTTTAGAATAATTATACATCTGGTTTCTGCTAGTCTGTAGAGTCAGACTGTTGCGGCATAAATTAATTCTTTATCTTAAGTCACGTTATATAAAGGTATTTTTAAATTGATAATAAAATTATTAATATATTGACCTTAGTAATACCGAGTAATACATATCCGTGCATAGGAACCTAGGCATAACATATAGTTGTATTTATACATAAAAAAATGAAGTTTTTAAAATTTGTCATAACACTGTATTATTGAGTAAATAAAATGATTCATATTGCAGGTACATTGTTGGTTCTTGGGGTTGAAATGGGAAAGACGGTGAGTATATAGGTACAAAGTTAGTCATGCTACGGAATTAAGATTTTGTCCGTATTCCAAAAACTGTGTATGTACACAGTTAGGAAAACTACAGTTAATATTTCCGTGTAAAATGAAAGTCTAAAAGAGCTTGTTTCAATGTTTTTTTTTTTAGAATTAAGTAGGTTTTAGCGTTACCTAATACACAAACACTTAACATCGAATAACATTCTTCATTAGCACCATAAACGATGGCTTATCTCAGGCTGGTCTACGTAATCGGGAACAGCCTATTCTAGGGCAGAGTGAGCGCGGGTAAGGCCGCCGCCAGGGGCTAGCGATCGCGGGTGTCGGCGGGCAGCCGGGCGCAGTGTCGCACGCGCCGCCCGCGGCCGCAGACCGCTCCGTCGCTCCGCCGAGCCCCCGCCCTCCCGCTCTGCCGCACCACGCGTCCGCTGGGCGCGCCGTGCGGGCCGCGGGCCCGGCCCGCGAGCCTGCTGCTACTCGCCGCGTGGCTGGTGGTCGTCCGAGCCGACCCCGCCTGTCCTCAGCCTCCTCAGCTCTGCGCCTCCTGCCGGTCCTACGAGAGCGCGCGCGAGCACAGCCTCAAAGTGATTCGCGAGAGCCTACTCGCCAAGCTGGGCTTCGCCCAGGCGCCCAACACGACGGGACGGCAGCTGCCCCGAGTGCCTGCAGATCTCATTAAACGCTACGAGATGAGGCCTCCGCCTCCCGGCGTGCAGGCCGATGCGCCGGCGCTGTCGCGGACGTTTGTCACCCACACGGAACAGGACGACTTCTTAGCTCGCACCGATAATGTCCTCGTATTTGCCCGTTAGTAACTATTTCTTACATAAATTTATTTTATTACGCTATTTCAAAGAGCAGTGTGATAGAGCCAAGTATTAAAAATTGCATTCCAGTTATTACCATCAGTCTTGGGCTGTGGATCGTAGCATTATGTCTATACTATCTTATTTCTATTAATTAAGATTGTGATGCAGCACACATGTATGTAAAAATCTGACAATGGTCGCGTTTGCTAGATATAGAAGGAGTTTTAGTTAGTGGAAGTAGAAAAGACTCCACGTGCAGGTGCCTATTCGCCTAAAATGGTCAACGAAGTTCATTGACAGGCACGTGTGCAGCTTATAGGGTAAGGAACTCTATGATCGCCTTACGCACTGCCAATTTTAATTAGCCAAAAATTGCTTCGAATATAACCAGCCTACTGTAATTGTCAAGCAGCTACGTGCGGATTTATTGCGTGACCATTGGATTGTGACTTGTGATCTTTAGTAGTTTTTTCTGCTAAATGTATGTGTAAAAAATTAAATTCGCACGTACCTATTTGAATATATTTGTCGTAACATTCAGCAATATAGTTGCTAGGCTCCCCGCTGGAATTGTTAAATATAAATCGTGTAACGATCTTTTTAAAACAAAAATCCGCCAATACCAAATCTTAATTTATTAAAACTGTAATGTTAACATAGAAGCAATTAAGGTAAACAATTATTATATTGAACGAGGTTATCGGAGTGCATGCAAATACATAATATGATGCTAAAGTAAGGGGCTTCGACCGCTCACGATAACGAAATCAACTATGAACTACGAATATATGTACCCAATTGTTATCACACAATAATAATATTATAGACAATATGTTAATTCAAAATTACATAATTTTATAGCATTGCTACGAATCAAATCTCAAGTAAAATAACCCAAAAGTGTCGCCATGAGTCTCTATTTAAAATGCGGTATGAATCAAAATGTAACTTGATGCAGAAAAAAGGTTGAAAACGTGTTTTTTAGATTATATTGAAAAAAAAAACAATAGAATGAGGGAAATTTATTTGCGTTGTTATAGTTTGTAACTAAGGTATATAACTGAATAATTTGCGAGCTGGTAGAGTTTGCAACCATACAATTTGTGTGTTAGTTAACCGTGCGTGTACGTGCAATGTTTGTGTGAATTATCCGCTAATGTATCTAGTTTTTTATGAAGTGCGTGGCCGCCACCACAAAACTTCTTGAATCCTGGAATACATTTTTGGTTTAATTTACTTTTGATCGCATAAGGGACTGGAATGAAAGGTATACATGTCTAATAGTAATATTTCTGTTTTAGCCAAGTGAAATATTAGTAATAGGGTATAATTCTTATAATTACAGTCAACTAATTACCAATTCTTATATAGCTCTCACGTCCTACGGACCTATTGACATATAATTAATTATATAATAAATTAATTTTATCCTATGTTACTATTAAAAATAAATTTACTAAAAATGATGTATCAACAAAATTACAGTAAGCTATTTTATTGATTATGAAACGGAATCTGTATTCTGTACCATCTCTGTTTCCATGGTAACCACATAGCGGGAACAAAGATAATGTTGAAATCTTATTACCAAATAGTGTACGGTCTGTTACTTTGAATTTAAATAGGCCATGATCTAATTTATTGTATTAAACGATATAATGAATAATTTCTACTATCGCTTATAACATTATTCCTAAATTAGATTCTAATAAGAGACGATATATTATGTAAGTAAATGATTGATTCGAAAATGTAAGAAGGTGATTCTTAATTAAGACTTTAGTCAATCATAGACAATATTCTAACCACTAACAAATAATTTGGTAGTCTGTGGGCTTAGGTGCGCGGAATACGGAACACAATCTTGAAATCGGCTTGCAAACTACGCCTCCGTAAGTCCCTGTTACTGGGTGACACAATTTCTGGCATTACCTAATAACCTCTTCGCATCCTATCAGGAATTAGAGCACACATTGAATTGGCACAAAATTCTGTACGATTATAATGTAAAGGAGGATTAGGCCTACTGGGGACACCTCTGAAAAAAAAACGCACCTCGGGTTCTTACCTCCAAGGTGGTGTGGAAAATGAACCAAGTTATCTAAATACTAACTTTTACTAATACTTTGTGTATTAAACTCATTTGAAAACGATAGTTTTGCTAGAAAAAGTTTTATATTCGTTACAGTATTGTAGGTCTGAATTTGTAAAATAATATTTAAAGCTTCATTATACATGCGTTTATACTATATATATATGCGATAACACTTAAAAATAAGGGACAATCTATTTACCACTAACCACAATGATATAAATCTCATTTTGGGTTTATATTTAATTCGATCAATAAATTGTTTCTATAGTTTTTGCTGCTAGATATTATTATACAAAATCATCTGCATAGTTAATCGGGAGTTAACTTGATAAAGAAAAGAGGCATAAATACGATGGTAAGATATGTTATAGTCAACCATATACTGTAAAATATATGTTAAATGTGTCAAGATAGCGGAATTTTAATAATTAAAATCTCCAGCAATAAAATTCCCAAATATTGGTTACATACAACTTCGTCATTTTATAAATATCATTTCTTATCGTACAACGCAAGGACATGACACTATTTGCGTACATTAATAGCATATATTTTTACATTGCAGTGATCACTGCGTGCAAATGAGCTAAATGTAATATTCGCACTGATTCTATTTATGTTCTAGTTGATCTTTGCTCTGAGGAGGGCTTTTATAATAAGCACTGTAGTGATTAAGCTTTACTGGCAATACTAAGACTCAAGTGGGAAGATGTTTCTGGTATTATTTCTTTAAATATATATACGTTATGGGATAGCATTGTAGGCATAATGTTTTTAATAATATTGCATTTTGAATTTCGAATGAAGAACTAACGAGATTTTTTTAATAATCTGAACACTTACGCCTTAATTATTATCTGCTAGTTACAATCAGAATATGCCTTGACCACGTTTTGTAAGAAGTACTGGAAACTTCAAGTTTATTATTTATTTATTTACAGCTTATGCATGGGCAAATTTCGACTAAAAATATTATAAAACTATTGTACACTTAAATATTTTTTATAAAATTAACCAAATATAGATAGCTTTTGCTTTCGCTTAGTAATCGCTTTCAACGACAATATAGTACTATTGTTTACCGTTTTATATCAACAGAAGCACCGTTTAAAGCCAGATTAAGCAATGGAAATAGCTAAACTAGTAAAAGCAAAACAAATCAGTGTAGTAAACTTAGTTAAAAACTAACAAATTCATAAGGGATTATCTGAGTTTACGCCATGACGTTTTTGCCGTATCCGTCTAGATATGAGCAATGCCTGCGTTTACAAAGAGGCCATTTGGTATGATCGATTGTTTTGGCTGCCTTCGTCACCTTAATTGCTCAAAATCAGACCGTCTCGTCGTTAGGCCATTGGAAATTAGTGTTTATGACTGACGGAATACGACGCGAGTTAAACGCTGATTTACGAAACATTGACTGTTTGGTCTTAAGCCTCAGTAAGTAAGGTGTAATCTAGAAGCCCTTGAAATTTTTGTATGACAAAAAAAACAAAGACTCTTTGACAAAATTAATAGGACTTTTTTAAATTAGGCAAATATTCACAATGACACCAATAACACATAGGTAGTGTGTGTGAACCCTAAATGTTTTTTTGTTTGAATTTCATTTATATGTTTGATTTTTAATAATGAACATTAAAAATGAAGAAATGTAAAAGTGTTCGTTTAATTTTGTGATTTTTAAAGCGTTCTCGCGTGACTTTGTTCGAAAATGAGATTTGATTTATTGTATAGAGACCTAAGGAGACTAAATTAAACCAAGTTGCAAGTTGCGTCTTGTCAGATGTGGAAGAAACTTTTTAATAATATATCCAATATACTCTATGCTGAAATGGCAAGACAGGAAATTTCAGCGTTGATTTCTGCAACAATTTTTTCTTCATAGACAAGTTTAGAACCATAGAAATTATTTCGAAATTGTTATAATGTCCAAGGCAACAAAATACACTTTTAACCGACTGTACTCAAGAACAGTAGTTGAAATTATACATACAGAGATCTATATGTATAATTTGAACAACTGTCTAGACTGTGTTCTTTGATCCCACTGTGTCAGTCTTATAATTACTTCAGTGACATGAAATGATTTGATTCTATAATATATAATACATTTGTATTAATTTTAGTAGCTATACTATATATATACTATACTATATATATTATACTATACCTTAATGTTTTGTATAATTCCCTATTGTAATCGATTTATTTCCAACACACAAATATACAATAAGGATTTAAAATATTCTTAAACTACATAGGAATAATAATAATAATTAAAAATTGAAAAACAGAAAATTAAAACAAATTTAAAAAGTCCCTGTGGCAGTATATCTTTAATACTGGCAGCATTTCCTCGCTGTATAGCAATACTTATTCTTAGAGCGAGGAAGCCACCAGCTCTAGGGTCACCGTTACTATCTACCACCTCTTCAATTAGCGTGTGCACTTGAACTCCACGGTAAAAGAGGTATAATTAGGTTCGATAGCTGTTCCGATATATTACGTATATATGTTGAAGTTTTCTAAATTCGCCTATTATTTAAGCCTAGTTTTAATTGAATTTAATCTTCAATGTATGATGAATTAGCGTTGTTATAATAGAATGCACTTGGAATTAGATAAACTTAATAGTAATATTCCCTAACCAAATACAATTTACATAATTTTAACGTAAGCGATAACATAGATTTTAACAAAATCTACTATAACTAAAATATATTATTAAAAGCAGTCCCTTTAGGCCAGGTTCCGAAGATACTGGCAAGTGGCAGCGTTCACCCTTTATTCTTTATTTTAACTATACATATTTACATAGCACACTACCTAGTTATCAACAGTCAGTTGGTCAGGTTATCTTCCGACATAGGCTAGCACAAGGCGTGGCCTTGTTGTTTCCATTCGT